GGGGGGGGGGTGGTAGTGGTGGTGAAGACCAGGGCTGGGGGGCAGGGACAGAATGCGAGAGGACAACGGGAAAGGGGGATATAATTTGTAATACTTTAAACAATAAAGATTTTTTTAAAAAAAGGGGGGGGTAGATTTGAGAGAGCTTGTCCTCTGTCTGCCACTTGAGGACACGTTGAGGGAGGTGTCTCCAACCCAGGAGGAGAGCCCTCCCTCCAGACCTTGATGTAAGGCTTCCTGCCTCCAGCCCTGGGAGAAAATCCCCTTCTGTGGTTTCACCCACCCAGTGCTCATGTTTTGAATTAGCCTCTCAAGCTGATGAGACAGTGGAATTAGAGCTGTGGGGCCCATATATACTCAGTGCTGAGGCTTCCCACGGGCAAGGTGACGTTAACTTTGACCCAGATTGAAAGCTCTTTGCCTTTGTTTGAGATGATTCACAGAGTTGGGAAAAGGAAGGCCAATATTGGGGAAATATCCAAACTTTATAGAGATAGGTTAAAAGCATGTGTGTGTCCATGTATACATGTAACATATATGTGATGAATATACTTGGTGGTTAAAAACAGGGTTTTTGGAACATGATTGTCTCCGTGTGAATCATGGTCTTGCTGCCTGTTAGCTGTGTGTTTATAGGTGAGTCACCTAAACTCTCTGAGCTTCAGCTGCTTCATTACCAAAATGGAGAGGAGACAGTAATAGGATCTAACAGTATTGATATGAGGATCTGAGCCAATAGATGTTATGCTCTTAGAACAGTGAGTGATAATAAGAGCTTCCAAAGGGTTCATTTTAACATTATATATGCACATATAGACACAAACAAATTGACAGTGGTTTTACCAAAATATGGAAAAAAATAAAAACCTAAAGTGGAACATTTCTAAATCCTTTCCCTCTACTTCACATAGGTCATACAATTTCCCTGCCCTACCTGACCCTCCGAAAAATTAAACTGCTTAATCTCTCAAATCTCATAATTACTTTGGCCACAGATGCCTGGAAGAGATCAGAAAAAAAAATAATTAAGACATGGAACAAGAGATAAGAACTACAAAAAGAGGAATTATAAAGTAGCTTGAGATTAGAGGGTTTAGCAAATAAATGCTAGATAACACCAATTTACAATTACAGAAAGGGAAAAAGAGTTCCATGTGAAGTCTATCATTTTAATACTGTTATTACTATCACTCAGAAAAA